TTTGAATTAGTCATTTACCACGATTCTAGGGTTGTTGTTATCGTGGGCTGTTATTCCTTTGTTGATGTAAAGCTATTTAATAGCTGGTTGAAGTCTTTTAGTTCAATAAGAATGCTTCTGAGTTTTCAAGACTAAAATACCTTTTGCTCATATCCATTCAAACTTCACGTAAACCTAGTTCAGTTTCAACATCTGGTATCAGAGCCCCATCACAGGGGCCTGACCAAAACCAGCAAACACAGTTGCTTACGTGAAAGAACAAGAATATGACATCCGAGAACAGTTTTGTGCAACCGGCCATTCCAAGGCTCGACGGGCACTACGATCACTGGAGCATGCTTATGGAAAACTTTCTGCGTTCCAAGGAGTATTGGAACCTGGTGGAGACGGGGATCACTGCAGTCGCAGGAGGAGCGGACTCGAGTGATTCACAGAAGAAGGCACAGGAGGAATTGAAGTTGAAAGATCTTAAGGCCAAGAACTATCTGTTTCAGGCCATTGATCGTTCTATCCTTGAAACGATCTTGAAGAAGGACACGGCAAAGGACATATGGGACTCTTTGAAGCAGAAGTACCAAGGGACTGCACGTGTGAAGCGAGCTCAGTTGCAAGCACTTCGAAAGGAGTTCGAAGTATTGCATATGAAGGCTGGAGAAACCGTCAATGATTATTTTGGGAGGACTCTCACTATAGCTAATAAGATGAGGGTACATGGCGAAAGAATGGAGGATATAGTGATCATTGAGAAAGTTTTGAGGTCTATGACGTCAAAATTCGATTATGTGGTCTGTTCGATTGAGGAGTCGAATGATTTGGATACTCTATCCATTGATGAACTTCAGAGCAGTTTGCTTGTGCATGAACAAAGGATGGGTCAACATGTGATGGATGAACAAGCTCTCCAAATCACCACTGGTTTCCAACAAGGAGGAAGGAGTGGTGGCCGTGGCTCCTATCGGGGAAGAGGTAGAGGAAGGGGTAGATTTGGGTTCGACAAATCTATCATAGAATGCTACAATTGTCACGAACTAGGACACTTTCAGTGGGAATGTCCTAAGAAAACTAGGGACTCCAATGCTCACTTTGCAGAAACAAGTGAGGAAATGCTGCTAATGGCGTTGGTGGATGACAAGGAAACTGAAACGGAGCAGATTTGGTTTCTTGACTCAGGATGTAGCAATCACATGTGTGGCAGAAAGGAAGCATTTATCGAAATAGATGCTAATTTTCGAGAGTCAGTCAAGCTGGGAAACAACTTCATTCTCAGTGTGCAAGGAAAGGGAAAAGTACGAATGGAGGTGCATGGGATCATGCATGTGATTACAGACGTTTTCTTTGTCCCTGAATTAAAGAATAACTTGTTGAGTATTGGTCAACTGCAAGAGAGGGGACTCGCAGTGCTCATGCAACATGGAAAGTGTAAGATTTTTCACCCTGAGAAAGGTCTCATTCTCGAAACTGAGATGACATATAACAGGATGTTTGCCTTGAATGCTCGCTGCCCAGGAAATGAACAAAGCTGTCTTTCCATGACAACCACAGATCAAGCTGATCGCTGGCATCGTCGATATGGACATTTAAGTTGGAGTGGTCTGAAGGTGTTACAACAAAAGAACATGGTCAAGGGGCTGCCAAAGCTCAAAGCTTCTCAGAACGTGTGTGAAGGCTGCCTTGTGGGGAAGCAACATCGTGAATCTTTTCCTAGGGAAAGTACATGGAGAGCCTCAAAGATCCTACAATTGATACACACTGACATCTGTGGTCCTATAAACCCAATCTCAAACAGTAAGAAGAGATATTTCATCACTTTTACTGATGACTATAGTAGAAGAACTTAGGTTTATTTCCTGGTGGAGAAATCAGAAGCTTTCACCGTGTTCAAAACATACAAAGCCAAAGTGGAGAAGGAAACTGGATCATTCATCAGAGGTTTGAGGACAGATCGAGGTGGTGAGTTCACATCAAATGAATTCACAGATTTCTGCAATGAGAATGGGGTTCAAAGGCAGTTAACAGCTGCTTATACGCCCCAACAGAACGGGGTTGCTGAACGGAAGAATCGAACCATCATGAATATGGTTCGATGTATGCTATCAGAGAAGCGAATTCCAAAGACCTTCTGGCCTGAAACAGTGAACTGGGCTGTCCACGTGCTAAATCGAAGTCCAACCCTTGCAGTAAAGAGCAAAACACCTGAGGAAGCATGGAGTGGGCGCAAACCCTCAGTAGAGCACTTTAGGGTTTTTGGTTGCATCTCTCATGTGCACGTACCAGATAGCAAGAGATTGAAGCTTGATGACAAAAGCCTCAAATGCATACTGTTAGGGGTAAGTGAGGAGTCCAAAGCTTATAGACTGTTTGACCCTATTTCAAATAAAATCATCATAAGTCGAGATGTAGTGTTTGAAGAAGATCAACTATGGAATTGGGATGACAGTCATGAGCAAGATATTCTAGCTGATCTTGATGAAGAAGCAGGTACTGGAGATGAAGGAAATGAGGAAGAAACTGCTGTTCATGGGTCAGATGACAATAATTCGTTTGAATCAGAAGAAGATGTCATAATTGAAGGCAGTGCACCTCCGGAGGGACGGACTCGAAGGCCACCAAGTTGGATGAGAGACTATGACACGGGTGAAGGTCTCTCTGATGAAGAAGGTATGAACTTGGCTCACTTAGCTTTGTTTACAAATGGTGATCCTATTAGCTATTGTGAAGCTGTGAAAAGTGAGAAGTGGAAACAAGCAATGGATAGAGAAATAGAAGCAATAGAGAAGAATCATACATGGGAATTGACTGACTTACCAACAGGAGGAAAAACCATTGGAGTCAAATGGATTTTCAAGACAAAATTGAATGAAAATGGGGAAGTGAACAAGTATAAGGCCCGGCTTGTTGCAAAGGGATATTGCCAACGATATGGAGTGGATTTTTCTGAAGTATTTGCACCAGTGGCACGAATGGATACAATTCGAATGGTAATATCCATTGCTGCACAAAGGAGCTGGAAAATTTACCAACTCGATGTCAAAGCAGCGTTCTTGCATGGAGAGATCAATGAAGAGGTTTTCGTTGAGCAACCACCTGGATATGAACAGAAGGGAAGGGAAGGCAAGGTTTATCGTCTCAAGAAGGCACTATCTGGGCTCAAGCAGGCTCCACGAGCATGGTATAGTCGAATAGAGGCATATTTTATCAAAGAGGGATTCAGCAAATGTCCCTTTGAACACACACTGTTTGTCAAGACAGCCAATGAAGGTAAAATTTTGATTGTATGCCTATATGTTGATGATCTCATTTTTACTGGAAATGATAGTGTGCTGTTTGAGAAGTTTAAGAGATCCATGATGACAGAATTTGATATGACTGATCTCGGGAGTATGCGATTCTTTCTTGGCATTGAAGTAACACAGAAACCAGATGGCATTTTTATAAGTCAGCGCAAATATGCACAGGAAGTGTTAGACAGGTTCAACATGGGTCAGTGCAACTCAGTGCACAACCCTGTGGTACCTGGATTCAAACTCACTCGTGATGAAGGGGGAGCAAAAGTAGATAGCACAATGTACAAGCAAATGGTTGGGAGTCTTATGTATTTAACAGCTACACGACCTGATCTTATGTACGCTGTAAGTCTAATTAGCAGGTATATGGAGAATCCCACAGAGACACATATGTTGGCAGTCAAAAGGATCTTAAGATACGTGAAGGGAACTGGTGACTTTGGGGTATTTTACAAGAAGGGAGGAAATGAAGAACTCATTGGCTATACAGACAGCGATTATGCTGGTGATCAAGATGACAGAAAGAGTACTTCAGGTTATGTATTTATGATGAATTCAGGAGCAGTTTCATGGTCCTCGAAGAAGCAACCAGTGGTCACTCTTTCCACTACTGAAGCAGAATTCATTGCAGCTGCTTCAAGTTCATGTCAAGTGGTGTGGATAAGAAGAATTTTGAGTTGCTTGACTCTGAGGCAAACTGGTCCAACAAAGGTTTACTGTGATAATGTATCAACCATTAAGCTGTCAAAGAATCCAGTAATGCATGGTCGCAGTAAACATATAGATGTAAGGTTTCATTTTCTTCGAGATCTTGTCAAGGATGAGGTAGTGGAGCTACTGCAGTGTTCTACTCAGGAGCAGATTGCAGACGTGATGACAAAGCCACTGAAACTTGAAGCATTTCAGAAACTGCGAGATCAAATGGGTGTATGCAGATGGCCTGGAATAAACTGAATCAACAGTATTCAGTTTAAGGGAGGAAATGTTGAAGTTGTCAAAGAGTCTAGCTGATAGGTTTCCTTGTTTCTAGGGTTCATTCCCTGGACGTGCTAATAACCCTCCTATACTTGAGGGACAAGTTTGTTATCTGTTTTGAATTAGTCATTTACCACGATTCTAGGGTTGTTGTTATCGTGGGCTGTTATTCCTTTGTTGATGTAAAGCTATTTAATAGCTGGTTGAAGTCTTTTAGTTTAATAAGAATGCTTCTGAGTTTTCAAGACTAAAATACCTTTTGCTCATATCCATTCAAACTTCACGTAAACCTAGTTCAGTTTCAACAGAAAAGGTAAAAATCTCTTCTTTCTCATGCCTGGAGATGCAATTTCTCTTTTAGATTGGACTTAAAATTTGGGTGATTAGCAATTTTTTTTTTAAGAATTCGATTGAATTTCATCACCTCAAGCGCAAAATTGAGAAGGTTCTCATCGAATGGTTCAATTATGGCGGAAAAATCCGATTTTTAGGAAATTGGCATGAACTTTGGTGGTTAGGTTACAGGGAAATGAGGAGTAGGCGATGCTGCATAATTGGGGAGGAAATCAGGGGTGGGAGGAGAAAAGCCAACCAAGTATACCTCTTTTATTTCGATTATTCGGTTGAAAGATTGGAATTTTTTGTTTATGTTTGCCCAGCCTCTTAGTTTCAGCTAAACTTCTGCAGGAAGCCGTTTATGTGTTTGCAATTTTAGGTTTGTAGCTGAAAACGGTGTTTTTTTTTTTTTTTTTTTACATACATCTTCGATAAGATTTTGTGTTAAAAGTGGCGACGGCAAACTCTCTATGGCTTAGACTATAATTAGAACATTTCTGCTATTGGTTCTCACTTTCGGTTTGCTGGTGTTTTGATTTTTTCATAGTGAAGGTGCCTAAGGAAAGGGTCAGGGATAAGGATGAGTCAGCAGAGAATCCAAGCCTTTGTGACTTATATTCAAATATCTGCAATGTGTACGGCGGTAGACTGGTAATAGTTTCATGATTATTTAGTGATGGTGTTAATCTTTATTTCATTTATGTTATTTTTAAAGTTCTCCTTCTCTTTGCTGGTTTTCAGGTTTTACTTGTAGAATAATAAATGACAAAGAGCTTGAGGTACCTCAAAACTTTTTTTCATTTCTAGTATGCATATTTTTTAACATGCCTTTGTATTTGTTTATTACAAGTGTTCTCATTGTGATAGAAGTACTCATTGTTAATAGTCTCTCTACTACTGTCTCCTTTAAATTTTACAACTTTTTTATTTAGGCAGTTACTTGTGTATTTGCCTTGAAGGATATACTTTTGCATTGGCTTAGCTCTGTTGGGGAGTTTTTCTGTACTGCTTTCACTGGGAGGAAAAATGGCTGCCATGAAATTGTGATCTAAAATTGATGCATTCCATAGACAAGGACATGAGACAAGGATTGGCCTGGCATGCAACCTATCATCTTTAATTTGACATTTGTTTTCACAGATACACACATATATTCTTTGAATTGTTCTGATATTTGTATCATAATTAAATTTGTGGTTGTGTGGTTTTGGTGTAGTGAGATATAAGGAGTGATGAAGGAGCTACATAAACTATAGCGAGCTGCATGAAGTAGTGAGATACATGAAGTAGCTATATGAAGGAGTGATGAAAAAGCTATATGAAAGTGATGACAAAGCTATATGAAGGAGTGATGAAGGAGCTACATACATTACATTGTATATACAAAAGGGAAGATGTTTTTATCTGCACGTCTTTGAAAGAATTCAAGTCTGCATTCGGAGTTTGAGGACTAGTGTTAATATGTTCAAACAGATATCTTAGGTTTGTAATGAATGTATTGGCTTTATCACATTGATCTTATATACGTTTGTTTTTATTAATGATCATACAAAACAATCTTTAAACAATGCTCAATGGAATTTTTACCAAAAATCACATATTTCTTGCCTCAATTTCCATTGGAAATGTCTATTATTTTATTTTTTCCGATGAAAATAATATTTGTGACACACTAGAGTAGTAGTTAAGGGTTGAAATAAAACAAACAAAAAAAAATACACATAAATAGTGGGAATTCTGGTCTAAATTTGCCCCAAAAATGAATTTTTGGTTAAAACTCATATTTGGTCCAAGGTTGAAGCAAGTTGGGGTAGGTTTAGAACCTAAAATTTTAGTGGGTCTGATGAACTATATCCAATATCCAAATATTGGTACAACATGGATGAACTATATCCAATATCCAAATATTGATACAACATGTATGTATGTATGTGGTAATCTTTTAGAGATTGGTTTTTATGATTAATCTACATGGCACCATATGATCGGATGGGTAAGTCCCCACTCATGTGAAATCAGTACACTAACATAAACTTTGATGGAAAGACAACGGAATTATCAAATTGACTTGCAGAACTCCTTTTTAGGATCTAAAGTGATAAATTTTCTACTTTAGAGACCATTTTGATTAGAAGGTCCAATTTCAGAGACCAACCGTGATATATATATTAAAAAATAAAAAAAATAAAAAAACCCGCATATTTCTATGCTATAAATCACACGCCATTATAGCTCAACTTTGGTGTAATGACTCTTAGGCCATAAAATGAGTACATATTTATAATATGTGTGACATGTTATGCTATTAGAGACAGGGAGAAAGACCAAAAATGTCAACTATTGTTTAAGAAACTTAAACAAGAAATCTAAACTCATGCATAAATGAGACACAAATCTAGATTTTTATTTCTTGCACACGCAACACTTTTTAGGAAAATACCTTAAAATGGGACAATTTCTTAATCTTGGGATAAAAATAGGACATTTTGAATATGTACACGCCAAGCACAACAATCGGACGGAAATAGGATTTTTCCTACACCTTGAAATGACCAAATTGTCCTCACATATAAACAGGTTATCTAGAAATTCCAGCATTCATTTCTCATTTTGTAGAGAGAGAAATAGAGAGGAGAGAGAGAGAGAGAGAATCTCTCTTTCCCAATTCCAATTCGAAGAACCCTAACCCGCCCATCTTCTTCATCCAAGAGCTCTCTCTCTAACCCACCCATCTTCTTCATCCAAGCTCTCTCTCTCTCTCTCTCTCTCTCTCTCTCTCTCTCTCTCTCTCTTTCTTTCTTTATTTCTCTCTCTCCTCTCTCTATATTTCGAGTATGTGCAAGAGCTCTCTCTAACCTACCCATCTTCTTCGATTTTTACCTTTTCATTTGTAGGTTTTGTGAACTGGGTTTGCTTAATTTTGATTTTTAATTGATGGATTTTTGGAGTTGAAGCAATTCGTTTGGTATTTCTTGGAGGTGGCCCAAATTCTTCATTTTTTATTTTTTATTTTTTATCATTTCTTTGATTTATATGTGGGTTTTCATTTCTTCTGTCTTCTCATTCCTTCTACTCCCTTTCTCGATCCAAATTTACAAATACCAAAATAGGGTTTGGCTTTTGCTGCATTTAAATGAAAAAAACATATTAAAGGTTAGTTGCCTTTTGGAGAAGAGATTAATTTGAAGGAAAAGAGAGAAAAGGATATGGATGAAATTGTTTCGCGTACTCGTTTGCTCTCTTCATATTACGCTCCCTCATACACTGTATATACACAACACACACATGGCATGCACATGACATGCACATATTATGCTCACAAATCTGAACTCAACCCAGAAACCCATAGCTCACAACCCTCTTTTCGAAATCAGAAAAATGACGCAATCAGATAAATGACCCCAAACTTTATATGAAGAATCGATGATTCATTAATTTGAATTTGATATACAGTTTGATTGGGTTCAAATATTTCAAGGATTGGGCACGAAAGAACCCGACTGAATAAAAGGAAATTGTTTCACGAACTCGTTCGCTTTTTTTTTGTATTTGCAAGGTCTGCCTCTGAATCAAAGGAAAAAGTAGTAAGCTACGTTAATGCGAAGAGAGTCGAGGATGTAAATACACACCATATACGCTATATGCACACAACATGCACAAAATATGTACAATACATGCACATGATATGCACAGAACGGGAAAAACTTTAACAACAACGTATTGGTATAGTGGATACAATTAAAACATAATTGTTACATATATAAGGTTATAGTGACAGTTTGAAAAGTCTTGTTACGTATGTCAACCATCACTTAACTGTGCACTTGGGAAACATGATACTCGTTGTCGTTATTTCATGGACACGCATGAACCTTAATGTCCTCTAAGTTTTTTTTTAAAATTTTTTTTTTCACTGAGGCCAACTAAGTTGTGGTCATACTCACTAAATTCCAGGGCACAACATACTTGCATCATAACTAGTGAATATTCCTGATACTCATATTAAGATCTAGCCATGCACACCATATGCACACCACTTGCACATTATGGAAAAAATTTCACAAATTTCTGCAGTTGGACACTTGAACTAGAAATTGTTCCAGCCCAATTTTCTAGCACGTCAAAACTTGAAATTTATTCCATAACCTATATGCTGCCAACATGAAACACAAACCCTAAATTTAACTTCTAAGTAATAATTCATCTTACAAACAACCATTTATTCCATAAATCATTGATGAAGGAACTTGGAACTAAACACCCTACCTTACTATGCTTGCCAAAGTTGCACTGGAAAAAAAATTGGAACTTTTCAGCCAAAACAGAAAATATGATACAAAATCCAGCTCACTTTTCTTCTCTCTCTCACATCTCTTTGTTTGAAATCAGAGATATGAGGTCAACCCAAAACCCAGCTCACTCTTCTTGCCTCTCTTTGGACTTCCATTTTTTCGAAATCAAAGCTAAAAGATCTGAGCTCAACCCAAAAACCTAGAGCTCACAAAGCTCTCTCGACAACCCTCTCTTCCAAATGAGAACAGTGATGCAATGGGTTGATGATTTTTAGTATTTATATGTGCGTATTTTAGTAATTTTAATTTTGTGCATGGTGTGCATGGCTTGTGCATGGTCAGTTTGTCTTAGTTCTGTCCCAAAATTACGAAATTGTCTTATTTTAGGATATTTCCTTACTTTTTACTATATTGTTAGTCTTGATGAAGATATAAATGTGATGAAATTAAGGGGTCCCTTAATCAATGACTCATGGCCAAGTAGCGGGGCAGACCTGCCTACTACATAGAATTGAGAATGGAAGAAAAAGTCAGATTGGACCAGAAAATAGGAGTATGTCATACTTTGAATCTTCCAAACTCAACTGACCAAATGCGTGCTCCAGGAGGAGGATCTGAGGAATACTCTACAACGGGAATTTCATTACTTTGCATGTCAGATTTCGTCTTTATAGCAATTATATGGTACCGAAAACTTCGACAATTGCAAGTTTCGTAATTAATACTAATATTATTACCATCTAAATATATCATAACTTTATATTATTTTTTGTAACAAATGAAGACAGCCTAGTGTAATTTCTATTTTGTAAATAAAATAAGAATTACACTAGGCTGTACAACTAGGATGCCACGTAAGGTGGTACACTGAATGTGGTGTATTTAAATGGTAAGTGTAATGGTACTCTTTTGAAATTGTATGTTTTTGTCTCAAAAATATGGATTTTATTTTATTCGACAGTGTTGTTGCAGTTCTAATTTAATTATAAATCTGATCGTGTAAATCCTAAATAAAGATTATTGTATAAATCCTATAAGACCTAAAAGATCTTTCCCATTAGTATTTGTATTACTAAGAGAATAAGTTTCTCTCTCCGTCACTAATATAAATAAAAGTACAAAGTATTAGGAATATCAATAACCAAATTCCTCAAGTCTTTACTCTCTTTAATTTCTCTTTGCCAATCTCTCTCCCTTCTCTCCTATAAATTTATATAACGACGAAGTTGAGTTTAAAGTGTTTTTCTTTAAATTGTGGAGTTACTAAACACTTGCACTTGGAAAGCCTCGCAAAATTTAGCTACAGCAAAGTTTAACATTCTTATTAGCACTCTTCCCCCCCCCCCCCCCCCCAAAACCACCGCCCCCCCCCCCCCAAAAAAAAAAAAACAAAAAAACAAAGATTATAGTAGGTAACAACTCTTATTTTGGATTTACCTTTTTCGTCCATACGTTCGTTGAAAAAATAAACAAAGATTATAGTAGGTAACAACTCTTATTTTGGATTTACCTTTTTCGTCCATACGTTCGTTGAAAAAATAAAATTATCTTTGGCTTTCCAACTTTACAGCTAGTATGAAGGATTCGTTTGAGACTTTATCTCGAAGAAACACTTTTTCTTATAAATGCTTATTTAGAAGAGAGTTTTAACGAAAAGAACGTAATACTGTTCATTTTAATGAAAATTTATATTTTTACACTAAAAAATCAAACTTGGTAATATTCACTTTACCCTTTATTTTTTTTCTTATGGTTAAAACTTAAAATTTTCAAATTCTTTTCATTATTTTTTTTATGTAGAATTATTTTATTGTAAACATGTAAAAAGTTCTCTTACAAACAAAGATACCAATCCTTCTGCCACTAGGGCTAGCCTAGTGGTGAGCGTGTGGATAAGGGGTGGGGTAGCATAATATTGATAATAATAAAGATATATATATATATATATATATATATATATATATATTTAATATTGATAATAATAATAAAGATACCAATCATTCTTCTCCAAGAGATCGCCTAACTGCTTAATAAACCATTCTTCCTTCTGACAAGCTTGTTGATGTGGCACTTTTAACCAATACAACAGCGACACATGTCACTGTAGCTAATTTCCCGTTCCAGGGTGCTGAGGGTCTTCGCTTGGTGCTGTATTTGCCATAGCCATCCTCATACGCAGATGCGACCTACGGATGACCATCTTCCCTGCATCCTCTGCAATAACCAGAAGAAACTTTCACTATTTTAATTTTTAGTTTTTAGAAACTTGCTTGGTAAGTGTTTAATAAAAATTGAAAACCAAATCAAAGCACATACTAATGAAAACACACACACACACACACAAAATAGCTTTCAGCTTTTTGTTTTATTTTTTATTTTTTGAAATTAAAGATAGAATAGTTATCAAACTTCTAAACATAATTTAATATGTATGAGAAAGAGAGAGAGAGAGGGTAACTCTGTATTGGATCCTCTGAAACATTGGCAAGGACTAATTGTGACGATAACAATAGCAATACAAAGAAGGGAACCATTTTCATTAATAGAGATATAAAGTTTCTCTCCTTCATTCCCCTAAGGAAAGCTATTTATACAAATGTAAACGCGTTTTAGGTAGCCAAATGTTATTGCTAGGTCAAGGTTTCTGCATGCCGATAACGTCATCCACAAAACATCCACATAATTTCGAGATAATAAAACAAAACTGTCAAAATCAAGTGTTGATGGATTTATGCACAATGAAATTTCTTCTTGTTATTATTTATGAGGTTTTCAATGTCGACAGTGATCACTATGTCAATGCCTGATATATTACGCAATTAAGCGTGGAAGAAAAAAAAAACAAAGTCTGATTGGACCAGAATATAGGAGTCTGTCACACTACCAGAAAATTATTATTTGCCTTACAAATTTTTGCTCTACGAATCAAAATTCGTCGGGTAATGTAATTTTACCCGTCGAAAATTTCAATTGATTGGGCAAAAATGGTCACCATTTAGGGCTTTGTCAAAGGCTGTGCGCGATTGAGTCATTTAGTAGGGCAAGTCAGCGTTAGGCAAACATTTGGCATCAAGGAAAAAATTGGTGCGTAGGGTGTGAAATCTTGCCTGAGGAACCTCAAAAAGTTTCTTTGCGTAAAGGCTTAATTAGGTTTTAGAGTTTAGGATTTTGTTTCGTCGCCTAATTAAGTAATATCCGTTTCTTTAATTATAATTAAACTTTATTATAATATGTGAGTCACATATGTAATAGAGAGTTATTAATGTGTGTTAACTTTGTGTGTCCAAATAACATCATCAAATCATAAAGTCCTATATCAACTATTGTTTAAGAAACTTATACGAGAAATCTAGACACATACACAAACGGGACTCATACTTAATGTTATTATTACACAAAACTATCTCAATGATGAGTCGAACAATAATCTCATACCTCATATTTTAAACATTGCAGTGTCATATCTCATCTTACGAATTCGATGCAATGTCAAACTTCCGTTAAAAAATTTATCAATATGTCTGCTAACTGCTGAAGCAGTGGACGTGGGACCCACCCCTCTCCAATTAGATTAAGAAATTAATTAAATATTAATAAATTAAGATTTATTTTTAATAAAATTACGAATTCGATGCAATGTCAAACTTCAGTTAAAAAATTTATCAATATATCTGCTAACTGCTGAAGCGATGGACGTGGACCCACCCCTCTCCAATTAGATTAAGAAATTAATTAAATATTAATAAATTAAGATTTATTTTTAATAAAATTAAAATTAATAAAAATAGAACCCTTCTCCATCTTCCTCCCCACCGAATTCCTTTCCCAGTTCGCCGGAAACCAATTCTCCCAACAATAATCCCCTACAAAACCTTGCCCAGCTGAAACAGCACCAAGATCTTCAAAGGTTTAGTAAATGCTAGCACTTCCTCTGAGGTTTCGAAGCTCCGCAATGGCTTCGACAGGAATCTCAATTTGAATATCAACGATTTTCCACTTCCAATGAGTTTCGGCCTGGGAATCACGATAATTTCATTTCCAATTTTAAATTCTAGGGAACAGGAACAGCGAGATGGAGGCGGTGGGTCTGCAGCTGGGTTGCGAGGACCACGACGCTCACTAAAGCAATTAGGTATGGCGGCGAGTCTACATTGGTGCACTCAGGGGTCTTGAACAGGTACAGAATCTCCAGATCCAAGCAATTGGAGACGGCAGCGAGTCTCTTGCCTCTCTCACTCATCTTATTCGATTCCTCTGCCTCGATTTTTTCAGATCGTCTGAAAACATGCCGTTCAAGAGATATGTGCAGATCGGACAAGTTGGAGTCCATATTATAGCTTATATTTTATCCTATTAATTTATTAGTTATTTTACTAAAATTTTGATATTTTGTTATGTATTTTCAATGTAAGACATTCAACTTTCTCTGGAGCAAAAAGTGATCAAAACAATGAATTTTGGAGTGCCAATTGGAGGATGTTTTTGTGCCTTTCAAGATAATTGTGTCAAAATTCCAAATTTTTCTACTAAGCCGTTTGATCGTGGAGATGAAATAAAGACCCAACGCGCAGCTTTTCCAAATTGATGTTTTTGGACGTTTTGGGTATTTTGGAGGTCAAGATGGCGTATTTTGAGGAATATTCCTTCTGATCATTTGTAGAGGACGTCTTCAGCTTTCAAAAGAGACCTTTTGGGACCAAATCGGAGTTGATTTGGTTAGTCCAAAGGATGATTTTCTGAGAACTCCGAATTCTAGTTCAAATAGGAAACCTTTTATTTTCTGTTTTATCATTTAATTATGTTTCCTAGTTTTATTCTAAGACCTTTTGCTAGGAGGATTTTAATTAGAGTAGTATTAGTAAGGCTTGTTAGCCATTAGGGTTCTCTAAGCAATATTGGGGGAACGTACGTTAGACTTGTCAATTTCTCACACGACCTGTTAACACGACATGTAAACGATATGAAAATAATGGGTTTCGAGTCAATACGATAACGATTCGGGTCATTATCGGGTCACGCAATAATAACCCGTTAATAACAGGTTCTTAACAAGTTTACACGAAAGTAACACTGATGCGAGAATTATACGCACACAAATTAAACCCTCTTTTTGTCAATTGTAGTATAAGTATAAGTAGGGATCGTTCTGGACCAGGGATTAGAAGGGATTGTTAATCACTTGGATTTGACTCAAAAACGTAAAAACAAGTTTAAAACACTATACTAAACTCGAAGAATGCAAAACTAAACTTTAAAACATCAAAACAAACCAAAAGACTCAAAATACTTAAAAACACAAAATAAGATAGATTAAGACTAAGATTTAAAAAAAATATAGGGGGGATTGAGGTTTGGACGAGATTAAACTAAAATGGATAGATTGCAAAGAAAACAAATTGTAAATACGAATTTGGATTTAATGAATGGAATGGAAAGCTAGCTAAGGGGTTCATCTCCACACATGTTATACTTGCACACAAAATGATTTCTAATTGCTTTTCAATAAACCATGAATTCTCAACACCCCGGGTTAATTAGGTCCGCTTAAATTAACCGTCAAGTTTTCCTTAAGTTAATGAATTGGATGATTGCATACGACAACCCAAAGCATTCCCCACAAGTTCCCTACATGAATTGCATAATAGAGATACAAGCAGGAATCATTAAGTTCTTTGAAAACCATAAGTGTTGACGAGACATTCGTTACTATGAATTGCATGAAACTTATGCCAAGAATTTACTTAACGCGATTGTTTATAAGCAACCTCCACTACTTGTGAATATAAGTTCATAACTATTAGGTGAAACTCACTTATATTCTAGCGTCATATTCATGCATGAAAATTAAGCGTGCACTCTCAATAAACATACATAAATAGGTTATCAATCAAATAGTTAAGTAAATTGAATTCACAACTTATGAAACGCAATTGGAAGTAATCAAATCATATTGCAAGCATAAACATGTATTTCGAATCACCCCCTAGCTAAGGGGGGTTTAGTTCCTCATACGTACAAAACAAAGATAAGTAAATTTAAGCATTGAAATCGAGGAAAAGAAACACCTAAACATTCCAACAACTCAAACTTGAATTGTATGAACGTTTAGGCACTCTTCTCCTCCTCTTTGTTGTAGCACAAGGTCTAAGGATAGTGTTTTGGGAGAATGGAAGTGTGGAATGGAGTGGGGAGTTATGGAAATGGATGCAATGGAGGAGAGAATGGTGCAGAAATGGATAGGAAGGCCACGACAAGAAGGGGAAGTTGTGTTTGTGTTGTGGTATGTACAATGGAATGAGGTGAATGGAGAGTGAATTGAATGACAAATGAATGAAGTGTGTGTGGTTTATATAGGGAGAGAATGGATGGGAGAGCATGTGAATTGCAGCTAGGAATGATTAAAGGGGTGTTGCTAGGTTGGAAATGCATGTGGAATTGCAAGGAGGAAAGCTGGAAATGCATGTGGGAGTGCACGGCAAGGAAGGTGTTTTGTGTTGGAAATGCATGTGTTGGCTGATTTATTGAAGGGAATGCATATGAGTGACAACTAGGTTGGTTGGTGATGAATGCATGTGAGTTAAAGAGTGAATGGTGGCTGCAATAATGAAATGGAATGGCTGGAAAGTGGAAGGGAAAGGCACGGCAACAAGGTTTTGGTGCTTGAAATGCATGTGTTTGCATGTGAATTGAAACTAGAGTGAATGATGATGAATGCATGTGGATTAAAGAGGGAGAATGTGGTGAAATGATGAAGTAGGAAGGTGGAAATGCATGTGAAATGCTGGAAAGGGATTGGGAATGCACGACAAAGGAAGTGTTTGGGTGCATGTGTGTGAATGGTGGTTTTGCATGGCTTTGATGGATTGTTTGATTGGGCTAGGGGTTTTGCATGGCTCAAAGGATTGTTTGATTAGGCTAGGCGTTTTGCATGGCTCAAAGGATTGTTTGATTGGGCTAGGCGTTTTGCATGGCTCAAAGGATTGTTTGATTGGGCTAGGCCCTTTGTTTTATGTCCTAAAGAGCATACAAGGCTTCAATTTCGTCCATCCTCTTTGCTCCATGATTAAGCTATCCAATCCATGTCCAAAAATGCTCCAAATAGCCTCAAAATGCACTTTCTTGCTCCCTTTGCCATTAAGACCTAAAAACAAACGAAAATAGCTTAAACTACTAAAACAACTATGAATTAACAACATAAATGCACGAAAACAAGCTAAGTAAGTCGCCTAAATATGCTCCTATCAAACACGCGAGTAACATGTTTTGACACGATAAGAAAAAAGTTATTTTGATGATTTTAATTTTTTAAACTACTAAAAAAACTTACTATAAAATGCAATAGATATAATGAATATGCATATATTGTTTATTAGTTATTATTCTATATAAATTTTAAAATTTAAGTTTTATTTATTTATTTTTATAGTATATTATAGGCAAAGATTGAGATTAAAAATCATAAAACACATTAAAAATAAAAATATCAAGTAATTTAAAAATACCAAACACATAAAAAAATTATAATAATTAATTTACATATGCTAAAAATATGAAAAAAAATATACAAACGCTCGTAATCGCATCCTCTACGCTTTGAGAATGGGTATATGATCGTTTGAATT